AATAGCATTAGGTAAATTTAAATAGTTCGATCTAAATGTATACTAAGAATACGGTAGCGTAGATTGACAACTGGGGGCCTCCGTGCAATATTTTTCGAGCTCCCCTTTGTAAGAAGATAGACGAATTTGACGCGAATTCTGCGGTTGACGGAGAAAACATTTCTATGCTTGGCTTGAATTGGTGACGGAACTAAAAGCCAAGTCTAAATTGTTGTTTAAAATGTTGCTAAAATGAATTTGCTAAAAATTACTGAGACAGCAGAGAAGAGTTAAATAAGGTGTAAACTAGGTTAGATAATAAAATATTAATATGTTTAGAAAATCCAAATATTCTTATTATGGACTGTAACATAACATTACATCAGAACACATTTATATCCACTGCCTATAGGTTCTTCTCGTTTGAGTCATGGCATTATCATACAAGATGCCAAATGTACAAAAGTATAGAGAAAAAGTTTCGTAATAAGAACTATATAATAACCTAAAAAATGCTGCAGTTTTAATGGCGACCGCCGGCGCCGGTTCATTCAGTTAAAAACAGGTGTACACGAGGAGGCTGCTGTTGTAGCAGAAAAGAGAGACTTTCTTTCTACAATGTGTAAGAAATAAATAGTAAATAAATAATAAATAATAAGGAAGTCTTAAAGTTTCTCAAAATCATGACTCAGAATCGTAGCCTATTCAAGATCAAATTACCGTTATCGATAATGGAAATAAAGCAGTAGAACCCTGTAAAACTGAGCCATTTTGTAGTAAAAATTCAGATGTCCGACCCAATATTGGTCTTTACGAAAATTTTGATCAAGACAATTTATTTTTTTTTAAAAACCGGAGGCAAAAGAGCTTTTTCGCACGAGCGTAAAATACCCTTACTTATATACAGGTTGTCCCAGAAATAAGTGCAAGTATTTTAAGGAGTGGTAGATCTCGATAAATGAAACATATTTTCTCTTCCTCGTTTTTCAAATAAGTCCAAAATAACGCAGTTATTTTACTTTGAAAATTTCAAAAAAAATAATTTTTTGCTCAAATTTTGAGAATGGATCACTGGATCTTCTCTGGATTTTCTTTCTTGTAAATTTAATCTACTACCTATGTTGCCATATTATCAAGAAATTATGTTTTTTAACTAAAAACTAAAAAAAAATACAAAACATTTTTCAAAAAATTCCGAATTTTTAAAAGTTTTTCTTGTGAAAAAACCTCATAGGCGTGTTTCTGGGCTTCAACTATACTACCAGTTAAAATACTTGCACTTATTTCTGGGACACCTTGTATTAATAAATAAAATGTTTCTTCGTTATGGTATGGTCATTTTGTTTTTGTGGATTTGGGCCGGTTGTCTGTTTTTCCCGGGCCGGTTTCCACTTCCTCATCCACCCCTGACAAGAGTTCATCATTTATCCACAACCAGAAAATTATGAATTATTACCTATACACAGACCTTAATGCAAAACAGCGAGAGCTCAACTTTTTCGACAAAGCTTCGATATGTATGTCCCATTTCAGAGAATTGTCCACAACAAGCCCTAAGAATTTTACAGACTTGACGACGTCAATGGTGGTGTTGTTAAGTACAAAAGGCTTCAGCGAGTTTTTATACAACAAAGTTTTAGTTTTAGAAATGTTGAAACTCAGGAGGTTCGAATCGCACCAAGATTTAATGGTGATTAAGTCATTTGATATAATCCTATGAAGTGTCGTGATGTCCTTGTTGCTCCAAGTGAAGCTAGTGTCGTCCGCAAAAAGACATATTTTGCCACTGATGTTTATGTTAGCAAATAAATCTTCTAAAATATACCAAAGGTTCTAAAATATACCAGTTGCGGCTCGTCAGGTGCAGTAAGTGAAGGGGCACTTCACCGAAAAAAATACTCAAATTAAAGAAAAAACTTTACTGCCTAAAATATTAATTTAGTTTAATATATTTACAGGTATCTAAATAATAAAATGGTAATTTTTTATAAATTATTTTTTTTCCGGGCGGACCTCTGCGTAATAGGTCCACCGCATCGTTAATTCCGGTCGTATAAGTAGCATTTATAGGCCCGCACGCGCCTACGTTTCCACGAAGCCACAAGTGAAGTGAAAATATTTTTGAGCCGAGCAGCTGCACGGTTTCCATGGTAACGTGACGGTAGCCTGGTAGCCTAGCAGCAGCATGTAAATCCCCCGCCCTGAAATGAGTTTTTGGGCAGTTCACTTCGTCTTCCTTTATGCTAATGTTCGGCTACTTCGGCGAGTAATTAACAGTGTAGAGACTGTAAAGTTGTTGTTGATTATTTATTGTAGTTTGTTAATAGTTTTTGTTGATTTAACTTGTTAATTTTTGCTGTTTGTTTTGTTGTTGTGTTTTAAAACTGTTTTGTGTGTGTATGTGTTAAAAAATGAACCCAATTAATGACTTGGTGTGCAATTGATTTAAAAAAAAATCAAAATACAATAGCTGATGCTTTAGAAAAAAACGCTAGTCTTTATGCTTAATTTTAATGAAAATGTTCGTTTGAATAGACTTTAATGCGAATATAATTAATTAATTAAATGACGATATTACTGATAAGTTTGCATCAATAAAGAACAGAAAAATTGAGCTGATTTACAAAAATTAGTAAGGTTAGTAAGATAAATAAGTCAAATTTATTTTGGTTAATATTGCTTAGTAAACATAAATGTAATAATTGAATAATAGATAATTGAATGGCTCCTCGGTTGTAACCAACAATTTTTTCAATATCGAAATTTCAGTGAAAAAACCGAGGAAAAAACGTTATACCTATGAAAATTACAACCTTTTATTTCACTGAAATCTCTATTTTGAAAAAAATGTCGGTTATAACGTTTTTCTGGGAAGCCATTCAATAATTACAGTGTTCGTAATAAAGTTGGATCAATATGGACGGTTTTTGGTATTAGAGTTTAAAAAAAACTTTTTGTGGCAGTCAATTCTGCTTTAAAAACAACTTAAAATGCACCAAGTCAAAGTTGAAACATAATTTTATTAGTCACCTTTTTTAAAATAATAATAATTTAACCAATTTTTAAAAATTTCTTTTAAATATTTTGTATTTGCCAGCTCCCAGATGTTAGCTGTTAACTTTGACGTGTGTGCATTTTAAGTTGTTTTCAAAGCAGAAGTGATTGCCACAAAAAGATTTTTTAAAACTCTAATATAAAAAAAAATGTCCATATGGACCCAACTTTATGGGGGACACTGTATATAATGTTTATTATATTTAATTGAAATTTAGTTATATTTTCACTGGAATGCAAAATAATGTGTTTATCGAAAACTGGTTGTACCTCTTTTTACTTAATGTGTTTTAGCCCAAACTAAACGAAAATATTATAGGTATTAGTGTATAAATAATAACAAAAAAAGATGTTGACAAAATGGTGAATGCAGCAAGAGTTTTTCAAATAATATTTTAAAAAATGTTGACAAAATGGTGAATGCGCCAAAAAAAAATTTGCCTGCGGCGCAATTTCAAAAACTAACTCTTCATCTAATTTTACACCCACGATTTTTAATATCTACCATTTATTTTTTTAAGTAGTTAACTAACACACGATTAATATTAGAAAAACAATTTCTTTTTATTAATATCTAATCTTTACCTAGACCATTTTGTATTACCAAAGGTTCCTGCAATATGCACAAGCTTTAACAGATCCTCTCTGGAGTAGACGGATAAAAGTGGAGCCTTAGGATGAGAAGATTTCTGTTTAATAAAATATTGGCATCTGATGTCGGGGGATAAATAAAAGGCAGATAGCTGGCCTAAGCGAGAGAATATAAGAATATACTGGAACTGGATGGATGTTACTGAATGAGTTACTATTGCCAGAGTTAGAGAGAGATCGATAGGAAAATGCTAAATAAAATACCGTATGATCAGACATCAAGACAACTGGGATTGACAATCGATGATAATTTTGGCGAGGTCAACCTTTAGACGTCATTAACTAAAAATTGACATAAAACTTGTCAAAACAGGGTGGCGCTCATATACGACGCGGTTTTTGCAAGGAGAACAAAAGTTTGTATTGAAGTGAAATTTTGTGGGCTTATGTAAGTCAATTTAAAGTTATTGTGGGCTTATGTAAGTCATTTTCTAAAATTATATAGAGTTCTACAGGGTGTCTTCAAAAAAAGTTACACATCAAAGTTGTGATTTTTGTAATGGAACACCCTATATATTAATTGATTTTCGGATTCTAGTAAAAAAATAAAAGTGAGTTTCATTAAAAAAGTATATTATGACTAAAATGTAAATTTTTTGAAATACATTCACCGGCACGAAAAATGGACACCTTAAAACTTTGACGTATTTGAAAGTTTAATATATTTTGTTATAGTTGGCCGATTTTGATAATTTTTTAAGGAGCATGTAGCTAAATTCTCTGACTTTTTAGTATCTCTTTCTAAATTAAAAATGAAACTTTCCATCTGTTAATTATACGAGGGAAAACAAAATGTTGATATTTTGGTGAAAGTTTGAAACACCCTGTGGAATATGTTAAAACAGCAAGAAATTTAAAAATCAATTTATCATCTAGATACATCCTTGTTCGATAGTTTGCTTTTCGGTTCATCTCATTAGCTTTATTTCTGTTGGAGATATTTACTTTTGAAGAAGACACAAACATTGTTTTGTAATTTTCGCATTAAAACCATGCTTTTGCTTTGTCCTAGGTCCTAGTCAATAGATCTAGTAAGTTCCGGTTCCGAAGCAGGCCTTCTTGACATAAGATTTGCTTCATTTAGTCTTCTTCTTCTGTGATATCTGATCACACCCAATCTCATGTTTTTATCTGAAAAAATAAAAAAGTTATAATGGCGAGCCACTTTTGAGACGCACCCGGTATACAAGACACTGTTGTATGAACTTTTGAACTGAATTTTTACCAAAAATCACGACTGAAACGTATTGTTAATTTTCCGTTAATTTAATAATACCTCATGTATTTTTACTGGTTATTGCCAAAAAAGAAAAAAAACTGAATACCGCTCTGCATAGGTATCCCGTTACGCCAAAACACACGCCTGACTTAATACGCCGGAGCGTACGGCTATTTTTATCCATTTCTGTCTAACTCACGTACGAACTCACAACCTTCACACACAAAAAGAAGATGAACATACAGTTCATTGCGAAACATCGAACGATATAATTGTCACCTGGTGCTTTCTGTCGTATACATGTTTATTGTAATAAATAAAAAAATAATATAGTTTGATAAACATCACATATAACACAACTACATAATTAGTAAACTTAAACGCATGCTTAAATATGAACTTTAGGTTCGGCATTTTTAACCATAAGTAATTTCGGAATTAGAACGCTTTTTAATTTGTTAGTTGACCTAGACCTACGACTGTATATTATTTATTTCGGTGTTATTGTGAGTAAAAAGCTCAAAGTTCACATCAGCTGCTGGCACACATTGCTCGAACTAGGCCATCACTTGTTTGCAAACGAATAATCATGGAAGATATGGATTTAGAGAAAACCGGAAGTAATGCGTTTATCGAGCAAAATAAAAAGTGCGATTATGAACTGTCGTGGCGGGATTCCCTGAAACAGGTCAGTATTTAATTATATTTTATTTTTGTTGCTTTTATTTAACGGTTTTTATTTTATCAAGTATATTGATATTTATTTGTATAATGCCAATTGAAAGGTAGGTAAATCTAAAAAATATAGTAATTTCATTATGAATTATTTAAGTCTACTGCAAATATGATTTATTTTCTATAACTAAGTTTTGATTAATAATACTTATTTATGATATAAGTGCTAGAAGTGGTATTTTATTTTGTGAGAAGCGAAGCTTGGGACACGACACCGAAGGCGGAATGTCAACAAAATAAAATCACTTTTAGCACACATATCATACACTATTTTTTCTACAAACAAGTTTTTGCTCGTATATATCAAGGTATTATTACTTTTTACGTTAATGAATGATTCTTAATCACAAAATATATTATGTCATTCTGAAACATAGATAAAAGAAAATAATCTTCTATTAAGATAGATATGAAACTTAATAGTAAAATTTTGGGTCAAAGCGCCCCTCCGTGTTCTTAGTAGAGACTACGTTTAACCCAGCGCCTTCGCCTTTTCTGCTGTAAATATTTTTATGTTTGTATTTGATTTCAAAGGATTTAGTTTTAAAGTTACACTGATATATTAGTATATTAGAGTAACTTTAATAAAACATAAGAATATATATATATATATATATATATATATATATATATATATATACTCAATATATATATATATATATATATATATATATATATATATATATATATTATAATATATATATATATTTTACAGTTTATTTAATATAAATTTTGACTACAAGGTAGAAAGTAAATCACAATATTTGATAAAACTTATAAGTATACAATTTTTACAGTTAATAAATAATAAAACTATTTCTGACTATGATATTTAAAATTTAGATAGATAGAATATTAAAAAACATACCGGTATTTGCAAAACCAAAATTTTTCCTGCGAAAATCGGGCTTTTTTCACAGAAAAGGTATTTTTTGATTTATCAACAATCATTGTCAAGTTGACAATATACAGGGTGTTTTCTAATTAGTCTAAAAAATTGTGGTGTGATTCCTCATGTGTTCTTAAAACAATTTTTATATAACCAGTGGGTCTAAAGTACTTCCCCTTTCTGATCTACAGAGTGTTAAATTTTTTTTAAAAAATCGATATTTGGCTTAAAATAAATGGTACACTACTGCTTTTTTAAAGAAAATATATTTTTTTCTTGACTGGCCATCCTTTTTCAACAAAATGGATCTTTTGAGTTTTTCTTGTTCATCGGTTCAACGGTTTTTTTTCTTGTTCATCAACCAAATAAACTAGTAACCTCTAAAAATTATTTTTCCTACCACTAGCGACATACCGTGTTTTTAGTGAGTACTAAATTATTTTATCAAAATTTCACCATATAATTTTCCAGGCAATGTTCTGAAATTAAATTAATTATGAAGTTTATGGTTGCTAGTGTAATTGTTATCGCTTCAGTGTTAAAAGTAAATCACGTGACTTACTTTTAGCACCAGTGCTAAAAGTAAATGACTTTTACCATCAGTGACATAATGTCACATTTTAGGCACTGACAGCATGCGTTAAAAATTACATTTTTACTGACGTTTGTAGAAAAATATTATTTTACTAACTTTGCAAGTAAAATATCGTATTTTAACGCATTACATCAGTGTCTCAAAACGGCGTCTAGTTCGTTTGGAAATGAGGATGGATGACATTCCCATAAAATTTTATCTTCATTTCATAGTTATCGCTAACGCCGTTTTTTTGTTTATATTGTACCTTTAACACGAATGCTAAAAATTATTTTCTTTTAACACTGATGAGAAGATATTAATATATAAGAAGTTTTTAGTAATAATTAGGGTTAGGGATAGACAAAATATTGTTTTTCAAGTGAGCAATGTTAAATCCAAATTTTTACTATAAAATTATTCCGTAATATTAAATTAGCATACAAGGCCTGGCTTTGAGTATCGATATTCGTATTTACCAAGAGTATCTACAGTCAATATGCTCTGTACAGGGTGTCCCATTTTCTACTGCCTTTTTTCCATGTTTTGAAAGTTCTTCTGTAATCGAAATTTCTGATTTTCCAAAGTTTTCTTAAGACGGTCCTGTATATTTCTGGCGACACACTTCTAAATCTTCAACAATTTTCTCCAATCGCCCTTGTCTAATTTCTTCATTTTCTAAAATTTTCTGAATATGATCCTGTTCTTTTTTGACGTCGTTCCTCCAACCGAATTTCCAAATTACCCAACATTTTCTCAAGCCGGTTCTGTTCTTCTTGTCTCTGATTTTCTCTCTGTTGACCGCACTTCTAATACTTTTAAAAAAATTCTTGATGTTTCATAAGTGTTTTCTGTAGACGGTCTTTTTCCTGTTCTTTCTCTTCTCGCAACCTCTTTTGTTCTCCTGCCTTTTCTCTTCTCATATTCTCCAGAAAAACGTCCTTCATACAAATTCTCAAATCCGGTCTAAAATCTACAAAATCCACTTAATTTCTTCTTAGAATTATTTAAACTTCCGACACCAATTATTACGGATTCCGTGGGTCCTTAATTCAAACTCACGATAAAACACTTAACAAATTTATTTTCCAACTAAACTTACGTGCATAGAAATCGGTCCACTGTGAACTTTTGGTTTTAACTGTGTCTTTTAGAATCTATTTATCAGAGCAAGTAAAAAATATGAGTTGTTTCAAAGACAATTTAACATGCTTTAATATGAGCATACATTTATCTAGGGTACTTATCGTTTATATGCGTACCAATGGGTAAACAAATAAAAGGTATTTGGGTTGTGGTTACATTAAGAATAATAAACTTGTCAAATATTGCAGTTACTGTCTTTCTAATCGAAATTTTCACATTGTTCTTTTATTCTTTGATTAGTTGTGTTTCATTGTTTGATTAGTGTTTCAATTTAATGCATACAACACCGGAAAAAGCCGCCCAAGTAATCGCTTTAATTGAAAATGGACTTAAACAGAGAGCTGTAGCTCGGTAATTACATATGACACGCGGAGCGGTTCGAAGAGTGTGTGAACGGTATGAGACTCGATCCTTTCGTAGTCGACCTGGGACTGGTAGAAAGAGATATACAACGGATCGTGATGACTGCTTTATTGTGTCAACAATGTTAAGAAATTGGCGTGTTAATGCTATTCAGGTGCAACAATAGCTCCGTGATACACGAGGAGTGACTATTAGTCAGTGGAGAGTAAGACGAAGATTGAAGGAAAGTAACATGACCCCCAAAACACCCGCAATTGGTCCAAAACCTACCCCAGCTCATCGTCAAGCACGCCTGCGTTTTGCACTGGAACATCTGAATTGGACACTAGAACTTAATGGTAATCTGTTTTATTCTCAGATGAGACCAGGATATGCCTCTATGGTAGCGACCAAAGAAGAAAAGTGTACCGGAGGCCAGGTGAGCGATTCGCAGAATGCTGCAATGAGGAGCGGATTGCTTATGGAGGTGGTTCCTGCATGATCTGGGATGCAATTTCTATGACTGCGCGAACCGACCCAGTTTTCATCCGTTGGGGCGACCGTCGGCACGGGAGAGGAGGTTTAATTGGTGCTAGGTATATTGAGGAGATTTTAGCAGTTCATGTGGTATCTCAGGTCGGCTACATTGGAAACGAATTCACTTTTATGCATGACAATGCGAGGGCACACACATCAAGACTCGCACAGGATTACATTTCAGAAGTCGGACTTCGGGTTATGGAATGGCCAGCACGCGGTCCAGACTTAAACCCGATAGAACATTTAAGGATGAACTAAAACGAAGAATTCGTACTAGACGAAGAGCCCCAACTTCTATCCCAGAGCTCATTGATGCAGTAGAGGAAGGGTGGCTAAACATCCCACAAGAAACAATATCAAATTTGATCGAATCTCTGCCAAATCGTATGAAAGATGTTGTTAAAGCAAGAGGGGGTCATACCCATTATTGAAAATTTAGTTTAATTAATTGTCCATAAATAAATAAATAAATAATAACATACCTCTTAGTAATAAAAAACGATAATTTGTTTCATGCATTAATTTAATAATTTTAATCCAAAGAAACGAAAATACAAATTAATATCTCTAAACTCTTTTCAAAGAATATGAAATTGTCTATCAAACAGCATTTATTTTTTCTTAATCTGACAAATATATTCTAAAAATTATATAGTTAACTTCAAAAGTTTGCCTTGGCCCGATTTCTATGCACGCAAGTGTATATATGCTTTAGGTCCTCACAATAGGAATTTACCTCAAACCCAACAAGGCAATAGAGAAAGAGGGACATATCCTCTATTATAAATACGGGACAACACCGGTATCAGGTTTAAGGAGAGACCAAGTTAAAGAGGTGGAGAAAATGGAGACAGATCCTCCAGCCTCCACCTCACGGGTTCCTCAGCCGGACGCAAGCTCCTCGACAGTGAAGAGCGGCACGGAGGGCCAAAGTCCAACCGTGGAAGGATGTGTACCCTCGGAGCAAGAACTGTTGTCGGAGGAGGATGGGAAATACCCTGTCCCCTCTACAACAGGGGTATGATGGGTTATAGAATGTGTGATGACTCAAGGAAGGGGGGCACAATAGATCTTTAAGGTCGCAGTGATTAACCCCCCCTCCCTCTTACTCACTCTACATTCTACATATACACTGTACTAATTCACAATTCGCTATTACAGAACTCTATTAAAAAGCTAAACTAAAACTGCCGGGCGCGGTGCGCTTTATACATATATGGCTGCGGATCTTTTAGCAATTTCTATTCTAACCAATGACTAAAGAATATAAGGACATGTAACGCCCCTTGAATATGGGCTGCAACAGAATTGGTCACCTTAGACGCCACTTTTTTGGACATAACGAATGAGTTATGTCCAAGCGACATCAGCGATAATTAGGTCATCAGCGACAATTTTAGCGATTTTTAATAGTTGGTTGTGTATAGTGAACTTTGTATAAACTTTATTACAATGGTAATTTGTTCAGCTTTCAAGTGTAAAAGGCGCAATATGGGCGCAATGATAAGAAAGAGCCAGGAGTTACGTTTTATAGAGAAATAAACAGTCCACTCCACCTTTTTAGCGTTTTTTTTTGAATTCGATAATTATTTTTGTGGTATTATATGTACTTGATATGTGCTATACGCCGATACCAGTTTTGTACCTTTTGTTAACATTTGAATACGTTTTTTTCGTAATTAATTAGTATGATACCACCGGACACACCATAGGCGTAGTGAAAACATTTATCAAAAATATAAATATCCCTTCAAGCAGCTAAGTTAAGAAAAATATATGGCCACGGCACTGTTTGGAGCCGTGTTAACAATTTGGTCTTTCCCCATACCTACATAAACACTGCGATGAAAACAGTAAATTAATTTAATGAAATATATTTGATTATTAAGCTACCAATTTGTGTATTAAATTCTAATAAACTATAATATTATAATAGTATTCAATTAAAAAAATATTTAATTATTGAAAAAAAAAAACGTTTGAAAGTGGAAGAGTAAGAGAGTAGTAGCATACTGGTACCGAGAAATTAGATCACAATGTGTGCGATAAGAGCGTAAACAGATTAAATATTTACTGATAAATATGATGAATCGTTTTCGCATATTATTTAGGACATTTTTGTGTTTACACAATACATATAACATATTTAATTGCTGGAAAACGGTCAGCCACAATATCCGTCTATTCCTCGTTAAACAAGGAGACATAATGTCATTGTATATGTTTAATTCTCAATCGCAGTTTCATTTAGGTATAGGATATCTATTATTATATCACTATCTATTGAAAGGACTATTTAACTTATTATATCTAACTGGCATTGTAAGAAAAAGAAATAGGTAGTCCATGGAAATTAAGCTGTTACGTAGAACAAAACCTGTAAAGCTGATAGAGCTGCAAACCATAGCTGCAAACTAAAAAAATGTACTTTTGGGGGTGGTTTGCAAGTTCGCAGGAATGGCAACTTAAGATTTTGTTCCACTAGCATGATGTAAATAAATTTTAAAGTTTATAGTAAAAATACCCATAGAGATATTTACAAACGTATAAAAATACAAACATTTATAATAATATTTAATAATTATTAATATCGTATCCATATATTGATATAAGTTTATATTTTCAGACTTTGGCAGCATGTATAGCACATTCTTTGGTTATACAAGTTGGGATTAATATGTCTTTTAGTGCTGTACTCTTACCACAACTCCGTGAGACTGATAGTAATATTAATATCGATTTATCTCAAGCATCATGGATAGGTAAACATAAGAAATTCATTCGACATTTATACAGGGTGTTCCAGAAATAAGTGCAAGTGTTTTAACTGGTAGTATAGTTCAACCCCAGAAAGACGCCTATGAGGTTTTTTTCGCGAAAAAATTAGTAAAAAAACATAATTTCTTGATAATATGGCAACATAGGTAGTAGATTAAATTTAAAAGAAAGAAAATCATCAAAATTTTTGCAAAAAATTATTTTTTTTGGAATGTATGACTTATTTGAAAAATGGTAACGAGAAAATATGTATTTTTTTATCGAGATCTACCACCCCTTAAAATACTTGCACTTATATCTGGGACACCCTGTATATGTATTAGTTGTATTGAGTTACAAGAATCGATCGTAAAGATTATTTGTTAAATATACATTTTAATTATGTATTAAATAATAGTAATTCATTAACAATGTATGTTATAAACATTTTATCTACCTAATTAGGTACCTATTAGGAATAACCAACACTATTAATTAATAGTGTTGGTTATTTCTAATTATTATATGATTCTGTATAGGGTGTCCCAGAAATAAGTGCAAAATTAAGGTACGAGAATGTTTATTCAAAATATTTTTTTCTGTCTATAGCTAGCATAGTGACAGCAGCTTTACCTTTTGGATCACTTACAATTGGACCATTAATGGATAGATTTGGACGCAAGAAGATGTGTTTACTAACAACTTTACCTTTCTTAATTTCATGGACGTTACATAATTTTGCTACAAATGTTTGGTACATCTATATTGCCCGAATTGTTGCTGGCTTTGGCGCAGGTATTTCTAAATATATTATGTAAAGTTGCTATAAGGCACTAGAAATAAAATAGGAAGCATTTTCATCTTATATACAGGGTGGGCCAAACTGTATTCCGTAAACTTCGGCAGCATATTTTGCAGATAAAAATAGGTAAAAAAGTTTATATAAATGTCTGTTCTAAAATGCTTAGTTTCAGAGAAACAGGGTGTAGAAGTTTCATTTTTATTTCGATTTTTTCTAAATAATTTCTGAAGTATATTGCAATATTTGCAATATTTCGATGAAAATTGGTATCTGAAAGTTTTTTGACATGAGAAATTTGATTTTGATGTCAATATGACTCCTACTAGTAGAGCTCGCCACCTACATGTGTTTTAACTGTTTTGAAGCTTAATAACTTTTTGTCCGTACCTGTATAAAACTACCCAGCGAAAAAATATACATCTCTGTAACTTTTTACGTAAAAAATATCTTTTTGTAAAAATCGCTATTAGCAACCGTTTTTAAGATATTTAGAATGGAAATAGTCAATACATGTCATTATTGACGAAAAATAAACACGTTGAGTAGATAGATTTTAATTTTTCTAAATTAATCATAAATTTTTCTGCAAAAAAAATGATGATAAAACAATTTTTGTTGAACTTTTGGCACAAAAACATTTCAAATTTATGATTTCAGTCTAATAACTATTTAGTCAACATGTTTAATTTATGTCAATGATGACAGGTATTGATAATTTCAATTCCAAATATCTCGAAAACCATTACTCGTAAGGATTTTTACCAAGAGACCTTTTTCACGTAGAAAACATCGTAAATGTATATTTTTTTATTCAGTAGTTTTATACAGGTACGGACGAAAAGTTGTTACTCTTCAAACCAGTTAAAAATATGTAGGTGGCGCCCTCTACTAGTAGGAGTCATATTGACATCAAAATTAAATTTCTCATGTCAAAAAACTTCCAGACATCAATTTTCACCCAAATATTGACGTTACTTCAGAAATTATTTGCAAAAAAAAATCGAAATAAAAATGAAACTTCTACACCCTGTATCTCCGAAACTAAGCATTTTACGACATACGGACATTTATACGAACTTTTTTACTTATTTTTATCTGCAGAATATGCTGCCGAAGTTTCCGGAATACAGTTCGGACCACCCTGTATATATTTCTAATCATATTTATCTTCCAAAATTTAAAACTGCAAAATAATGAATTCATAGTTGTCTATTACAGAAGTTAAATATTTTTTAAACAATTTTCTCAATAATCTAATAAGATGGGGAATGGGGAATACCAAATAATGGTGTTTTAGGGAAGGAAACCTAATATTAGGAGACAGTTTTAAATCATTTTTTAAAGAATGCATTTATTGGGTGATATACGGTGATATTCTTTATTGTAGGTTTGAGTACAGTAGCCATTGTTTACGTAAGTGAAATATCCCATCCAAAATACAGGCCCATGTTGCTGACGTTTAATAGCGTTTTTGTAACGCTAGGAATACTGATCACTTGTCTTCTTGGTAAGAAAAAATTACATTCCTGTGTAAAATTACTGAACTTAGTATTAATTTAAATATGAAAAGTTTAATTTATTACTTTGACTTTATTAATAAAATGTAGATCATTTCTGTGTGTACGAGGAGTACAGTCAATATAAGACGCAAGCAAAGAATATAACGTTATCAATCATTAATAATAATCCTCTATCAAAGAATGAAATCGGATTGATATTACCCTTGTATATTACCATAGAAACGCCTTTTAATTTTGAGGACTTGGACGGTATGGAAATTTGGAAAAGTAAAATAAACGGGATTAGCCATTTTAGAACAAGCAAATTTTTTTTATGAAAAATGTATTTTTCTCAAAATGTCAATAATAAAAAAGTTTTTCCTCTTGTAAAGACAATCCGGGGACATACTGTATATATTTTATACTTTTATAATTTTTTTACTTGCTTTTTTTAATTGTCTGTCAAGTTTGTCCAATGGAACGATATATGATAGTGACAGTTATTGTCTGTAGTTTTAATTTAATTTACAGGTAAATTTTGTATTTGTTGTTGTTTCTACAGTTTTACCGTTTTCAAATATATTCAATTTTATGTTAAAAATTATTAAGCAGAATATGTATCATTATACAGGGTGAGACTTAAATAAGTGCAAATATTTTCAGGGCTGGTAGATCTCGATAAAAGGAACATATTTTCTCTTTACCGTTTTTCAAATGAGTCCAAAATAACTGAGTTATTTTATTTTGAAAATTAAAAAAAAATATATATTTTAGCTCAAATTTTGAGAACCACTAGATCTTGTTTAGGGTTTCTTTCTTGTATATTTAATCCACTACCTATGTTGCCATGTTATCAAGAAATTATCGTTTATAACTAAAAACTAAAAAAAAAATCCGAAAAACTTTTCAAGACATTCCAAATTTTGTAAAAAAATTGCCAAAAAAAAAAGCATAATCGTATTTCTGAGGTCGAAATATAGTAATATACAGGGTGCGTCTCAAAAGTGGTTGACACCTATAATTTATTATTTTTTTATATTTTTTATTTTTTCAGATAAAAAAACGAGATTTAGTATGTTAATATATGACATAAATTAGGCTTGATTGACGTATTCAACTGTTTTTGGTCACTTCCTGATTCACCGGAAATGACTACAACTTTTGATTTTTAAATAGCTCCCTTGGTATTTTTTTACCTTATTCGATAGAAAATGGCACTTTGAATAGAATAACATTTCATATGTCAACTTTTAACAATTTCGCTTTAAAAAAATCATATTCTAAATTTCAGAGTGTCATGGCTGTGGTAAAAACACTAATTTTTAATGAAGGAGTCTTGGAAAAATAGGTTTCATCGTTTAATGTTTTTGTGTCTTGTCCTGGTCGGTTAAAATTTAAAATATATCCAAATCGTATTTTTAATCATATCTCAATTTTTTCAAATAGAACGAGGGTGGCTCATTAGCATCTTTGGAAAAAACATTTTTTACCAAACACTTGGTACTTGGTATTTCGAGTTAAATTGTCGTTATGAACCGCATGTTACAGTTTCAAATAAACCATATGAGAAAATGTCAAAAGTTGACATATGATATGTCGTTCTATTCAGAGTGTCATTTTCTATCGAATAAAGTAAAAAAAAACGAGGGTACCATTTAAAAATCAAAAGGTGTAGTCATTTCCGGTGAAACAGGAAGTGACCAAAAACAATTGAATGCGTCAATCAATCCTAATTTATGTCATATACTAACGTACCAAATCTCGTTTTTTATCTGAAAAATTAATAAAGTTATAGGGGTGAGCCACTTTTGAGACGCACCCGGTAGTACCAATAAAAATATTTGCACTTATTTAAGACTCAACCTGTATATTATATAATTTTCAGTATTAATACTATTGATTATTAAATTTATATAATGACTAGTTGAAGCCTGGCGCATCCGCCACGACATCAGGAAAAAAAAATACTTTTTTTTTAATTAAATGCAAAACAAAAAATCAGGCGACGACAGTTTTTAGAAGAGCCACTTAGCTATCTTTTAATAACAAAAACAACTTTCTAGAGCAAGTCGTTACTTCAGTAGAGACGACACAGATAAATATTAGCATTTTATATATGTATGAAGATATGTCATTCTATTCAGAGTCATTTTCTATCGAATAAAGTAAAAAAAAACGAGGGTACCATTTAAACATCGAAAGTTATTTCCTGTGAAACAGGAAGTGACCAAAAACAATTAAATACCGTTAATCAATCCTAATTTATGTCATAATATACTAATATACCTAATCTCGTTTTTTTAACTAGAAAAGTAAAAACGTTATAGGGGTGAACCACTTTTGAGACGCACCCGGTATATTTTTGCCGTAAAATAATTTTTTCTATCCATTAAAATAATTGTTTCGTTTTTAGGGTTCCGTCTGCATTGGAGGTTAATGGTAAAAATATTTTTTGGCATGGTTTGCATCACAATGGCCTCTTTATTCTTCATTCCAGAGAGTCCTTATTGGTTGATAGTTTTTCGAAATGATATAACAGAAAGTCGTAAATCTATGAGATGGATATATACTGACAATAAGGTGGACAATACTATTTTGTTTATGTCTTTTCTTAAAGTTTTCTTTTTTCAGGTGTTTGAAGAACAAGTACAAAGAGTATTGCGATCTCCTCGTTCCCAAACTGAACCAAAGAACGAGACTTCACGACTGTTACAATTAAAAGAAAATTTAAAACTCTATAAAGGACCAACGGTTTGGAAGCCCATGATTATTTTACTAGTCACTTTCTTATTCCAACAATTATCTGCGGCCTACGTCGTTATTTTCTACGCTGTAGACATCTTTCGCAAAATCGGTGGTAGTTTCAAACACATCGGCTTGATAGATGCATTTGTTGCATTGATTCTTCTTGGCACTATACGTTTCGTTATGTCAATAGTCCTCTCTATGATTTCTAAGAAAATTGGAAGACGTATCTTAATGTTCGTTTCGGCTGTGGGAATGGTTGTTTCTAGTTTTTCAGTCGGACTTCACATGAATTTCTCTTCTTCCTCGAATGCATCATCACCTATGGAGTTTTCCAATAGAACTTTTACCGAACAACTGCCAAATGTATCAGATAACACTGGTACTATTGCTGTTATTCTTGTATTGACGTACATCTGTTTTAGTTCGTTTGGTTGGTTAGTTATACCTTGGACTCTTATTGGTGAATTATTACCTGTAAAAGTCAGAGGGACACTGGGAGGGGTCATGGTATCTGTGGCGTATTTATTGATGTTTTTCATGGTGAAAATAGCTCCGTTTCTAATGGAAGCTGTTAGTTTAGGCAGTATTTTTATAGGTTTAAGTGTTATTAATGTATTTGGTATTATATTTTTGTACTTTTTCCTTCCAGAAACGTTAGGAAAAACCTTTGAAGATATTGCTAAATATTTTGAATAAAATTGTTAAATTGGGATTAAGATATTGTTAAATTGATATTTAGATTAATTTTTTACTTTATCACTATTTTGTTGTTATTGATGGACATCCCCTACGTAGGCTAATTCACGGCGATGGTACGTCGGAGGTTTATAGAGAACCGGTCATAGAATTTTTTTGAAAATTCCACACCTGTAATTTTTAACCAATCAAAACGTGTTTTTTTTTGACAAGTCACCATGGCAACGGATAAATTTTAGTGAAAATTTTTTCCTTGTGGGCGCCCAGTGGGCACCCAACAGCGAATTATACTGGAAATTTTTGACATTTATAATGACAGAATATCTTTTTGAGAGTCTGGTTTTTATTTGTTTACATGATAATTTTGATACATTTCAATACAAAGCTGAGATGTTTTCTATATTATTTAGACACTTCCTTTCTTCTTAATGGCGAAAATGTAGGACTTGGAATGGGCTGAATTAAATGTCTATGTCTAATGAAATATATATAATATTTAGACACTATTTTATTCACCTTGTTTCCATTTAGCACTTTGAATTTTGAGTAGTTTAGATGCAAATATTCGTGAACAATTCGAAACAAATTTTCTTTCTTCAAGTAGGAGTCACAATCCTCTATTAATGCGGGTAAATAAGTCATCGCACGATGATTGATCATTACATCAGACAATTTCACGCATATTCATTTTTAAAACAAAGAATTTTGTTGGTTTTTCAAGCTGCACAATATTCTTTATTACAACAAAACGCGAGTTTTTCTGATATTTTAAACTGTCAAACTACGATGATCACAGCCTTTTATGATTGACGCTTGCTGACGCTGCGCGCTGGTTATGAATTCCATACCAATAAAGCGTCTATGAAAAGTTAATAAAAATAGAAAAAAGCAATTTTCTACCACTTGTAGTTACTCAAAACTTATGTAAAATTAAAGAATATATTGTGTTGTGTCTTCAGATGGTATTTTCGTGCAACTACAACGAGTAGAAGTCAACATTTTAAAGGTCTAAATTGCTGCCAAAACTGTAACGCGCTGAAAATCTGTTCATGCAGCGTTCCGAAAAACCTTTTAAATTATGATTTTCTACCACTTGTAGTAAGCCCAAGTAACTATAAAATGAAAAAATATAATATTTTACGTCCTAAAATGGCACTGATGAGCTACTATAATCAGTAGAAATCAACAGTTTATAGGCTAAGAATCCATCTTTTTTAAGTCACAAAACATCCCCCTTTAGAACTTCGTCTGTCATGTTAAGAAATGAAAGTAAATAATAAAGCGCCTCTCGTGTTTGTTCGCACTCAAAAAATTTCAATTAATGCTTGTATATATTTTTAATATATTTTTTAAATTTACATTTTTTATGAATATTTTAGGAATATATTACATAACAATTATGTCAATTACAGGATTACAAGCTTGTTTTCTAACATTTTTTAAATAAAACGAATTATAAAATTTCAATATATGTATATTTGTCGTAGGTATGAAAAAAGTAAAATATAAAATGGACAAACGTTTACTTACATTGCAATAAAACTTCCACTTTTAGTTTTGCAATCCAAACGCAATATTTCTATTTCACAAATAAAAATATCCGACAACACTAAAATCACTGAAACTTCCACGGCTGACAACGAAAACTGAAAAATATAACGGCACTTTTTGTTTTGGACCTGCATATCAACATTACGCTGTACTATTATGGGTTTTGTTGTTGAAATAATATAAAATATCTAATTATAACATGTAAATTTTAATATTTTAACATAATTATAACTACTTTTGACAATAACTAACTTTTTGTTATCAAGATGACATTTTAGACGGCAACTGACATATGTCATAATATTTGAATCTTAAATATGTATGTAATATAATTCAAATTACTATAATGCAACTTTATACTAAGGAAACATTTATACATTCACAAAATACAACAAAGTCTAATAATATAGTTTGAAAACAATGAATATTGAATTGAAATTGAAAAAATTAAGCGCGACCCCTTGTGTCAAAATTAGATGATTAAATTTTCCAAATTTTTACACCATTTGATGACCGGTGGCGCCTCTAGTGTTTGTTCGGACGGTTGGGCTTTTACTCCCGCTTATGGCCATTAAAGAAAAAGTTCTAAAGGGGGATGTTTTGTGTTTTAAGTCGTGCCGCTTGACAGCTTTTAAACTGAAATAGTTTTTAGGTTTGGGTGTCACTTAGTTGCCATAGTAACTAAATAATCAAGTCGACCAAAAATCGAAACATAGTGCATATTTGGATTTTTAGATAAAAAGGCACCTGTTACATCTATCTATACCATATACATCCTTCTAAGTCTTCTCAGGTCTTTTCTTCGATGTTGGGATATTCATTGCATAATTTGTTTTGGAAGTCAGGTGTCATCCATCCTCTGGACATGTCCGTACCACATAAGTAGTTGGCGTTCGATGTCGGTTGCCAAAGACCCCTCTATTCCTTATCTGTCGGATTTCTTCGTTTCGGACTCTATCTCTTCAGGAAACCAAGTCTCTGCACCATAGAGTAGACTGCCCTTTATCAGAGTCTCGTAAATACGATAATTCGTTTTTTCCCTATTTCATTACTCTAAAATACTCCATTCAGACAGCCAATTGTTCTTCTAGCTTGTGTTTTTTTAATTTCGTTGTCATCTTTAGCTGTTGTATCAAATACCACTCCCAGGTAGGTGTAGTCATTGCAAGCTTCTATCTCTTAATTTTTAAGTGTAAGCTAGATAATTCTGCATCAATAGGTAGATATTTAGTTTTCCGTGTGTTTATTTCCAAATCCGATTGTTGAAGCACTGCGGGTGCAACAAAGACATAAGATAAAAGTAAGTCGTTGATATGTTTGCGTCAGTTTCCATAGTGGTTTACGTATCCATGTAAGTATATATGATCTAGGGAGTTATTCAATGCTTATTCAAGATCATATTTTTGTAAAATTTTCACATGCTTTATTTTTATTTGTAAAACCATTGGAGATAGCTAGGTATAGGTTAATATAATAGAAAAATTATGAGATATGAAAGAAGTTTCCAAAAATGTAAGAATATATCGGTTGTTCCATTTTTCGTCTTCCACTTTCCACATTTCACTTTTAGTATGAAGCGGCAATACTGTAATGCTGAAAATAATTTAGACAGATGGAGTAGGTGCCTTTATACAAAAATCCAAATTTTTAAAAATCCTATCACCGGGTTCTCCATAAACGTCTAACGTGACATCGTTATGAATCACCAGAAATTTGTAACGCATATTATGGCCATTATGATTTCATATTACAGAGCATTATGACTATGGGCATTCATAAAAAGTTTTTTTAATGATTACATATTGAAAAATATTGAAATAGTGATGAAGTAAAAAATTGTAACTTTAAAAAAGTTGATGCAATTGAACGGCGACAATGGCAAATGAAATTTGTAAACAAAGATAGTGTATCAACTAAAAAATAGGAATAACATGTAAATAAGTTCAGTAAAATAAAATGTTTAAAGATTTTTGGTAAATTTCTCGAAAACTTTGAAGTAATTTTTGAACCTGTAGAGTGAGGCGTTAATATTCAATAATACCTCCATTGTCTGATTGAAATGATAAATATCGTTCGTGTCAAATGCCCTGCTGATATTTATCAACTCTCTCGGATTCAGTGGAGTTTCAAAATATTAATATAGTATTATCAATAACCGGTAATAAAAAGTAGTACCTTAAAAACAAATTCAAGGTGAAGTAAACTTTTTTAAGTCATTTATTTTTTATATTTGAATTAGTTTTATTAACATATTTTATATATTAATTTTATAAATAAATATGTTTTTTATTTTTGTTTATAGTTTTATTCCATTGCCTACAACAAAATATGCTAAAATTAGGGAGTGTGGCTCCGTAAAATGTGAATCAATTATTTTAAGCTATGTATTTTAACATATTATATATCGGGATTTGCCTTAGTATCATAGAACTAATAGTGGGATGGAGTTTTTTCATCGTAAAACTTATGTGGCAGTGGCTCAGTCAATGACTAAAGAATCCAAGGACAAATAACACCCGAGCAAATTGTTACGATTTCACCAAACAGTGCCGTGGCACATATTTTTCTTAACTTAGCTGTTTGAAGAGATATTTATATTTTCTGATAAATGTTTTGACTACGCCTATGGTGTATACGGTGGTATTATACTAATTAATTACGAAAAAAACGTATTAAAATGTTAACAAAAGGTACAAAACTAGTATCGACGTATAGCACACTTCAAGTACATATAATATCAGAAAAATAATAATGGAATTCAATAAGAAAACTAAGAAAACGCTAAAAAGGTGGAGCGGACTGTTTATTTACCTATGAAACGGAACTCCAGGCTCTTTCTTATCGCTGCGGCTTTTACACTTAAAAGCTAAACAACTAAGTAATCACCATTGTAATAAAGTTTATAGAAAGTGCACTACACACAAACTATTAAAAATCGCTAAAATTGTCGCTGGTGACCAGCTGATGACTCAATCGTTGCCATCAAAAGACTGGCGTCTAATGTCACAAATTCTGCTGCAGCTCGTATATGGGCGTTACATGTCCTTATATTCTTTAGTCATTGGGCTCAGTAATACAAATTACGCTAAATTTCATTCTCACTATCCAACCTATTAGACAGAGTTGTCAATCTCTGAATAAAATATTAAAGGAGCATATCAAAAAACTTAATTGAAGCACAATGGGGACCTAAAATGGCCGACGCAATTCCGGTTTATAAGTGTAAAATACAGGATGAGTCTTAAATAAGTGCGAACATTTTGAGCTGGTAGATCTCGATAAAAGAAACCTATTTTCTTTTTACCGTTTTTCAAATAAATCCAAAATAACTGAGTTATTTTACTTTGAAACTTCACAAAAAAATGATTTTTTGTTTAAATTTTGAGAACCACTGGATATTTTCTGGGTTTTCGTTCTTGTAAATTTAAACTACTATCTATGTTGTCAAGAAATGATAATTTCTTGACAACATAGATATTAAGTAAAAACAAAAAAAATCAAAAATTTTTTTCTCTTTCCTCTTTTTTCTCGAAAACACCTTCATAGTCATGTTTCTGGAGTCGAAATATACTACCCCTAAAATATTTGAACTTATTTAGGACTCACCCTGTATAATGTAGGGTTGACTCAATAACTGATTGATTTATTTAGGTTGTCTTATATAAAGAATAATTAAAAAAAACACATTTTTGAA